TTTTTTATTTTTATATATTTTTTCACCGGTCCGATTTGGTTTTAAACCGCAATTAAAATTCTTAAACCTAAACCAAACCATTTTAACCGGTTTGATTTGGGTCAAAACTATTTCGTTGACCGGGTCCACGTGGCACCAAACCGACAGTTTCTAAAATGCGATTTCGGTTCGATTTTTCGGTTTTGCGATTTTTGCTTATAGCCCTAGCCTTCGCTGTTGTAAAATAACTATTTATAATAAATAAAATTTGTGTTTTTATTTATTTACTGTTATTGTATTTTTTAACATGAGAGTAAAAGTATATGTGATCTTAAAAGTATATGTGATCACTTTCCGATAGTATGAATTGTGTCTTTGTATAAAGAAGCACAATGTGACTTGATCAAATAATATTACTTCTCTATCTATTATATTGTTCAAACGTTCACAGATAATATTACAAATTTTGTCGCCTCGAATGGTTATCACGAGCATTTCTTAATTATTTTTTTATTTTTGAAAGAAAAAAATAATGCCTGTAGTAGAAAGATTAATCAGTTATTTCTTTCATCGCTCCCAATGCCATAATATTACCACTAATGGCACGTAAATATAACTCATTGTTTAAACAACTATTCAAAGTTCGTAAAGCTCCTTGTAAGGCTTGTTGAAAAATCCATTGTCGGACTTGACTAATCTCCCTCTGCTGTTCAAATTGAATCGTTTCATTTTTGTAATTTTCTAGAATTTGAATTAATCAAATTCCATTTTTTATAAATAAATTGTTCATTATAAATCAAATTAAGTAATAATTAAAATGTATATTAATTTGATTAATATGAAAACTCTTAATATGAATAGTCAAAAAATTTTATATATTTGTCAATATTTCAATATTTAACTGACATAAGATCCCTTGATATACTCGGCAAGATGGTGACTCATTTTGGGCAAATTAGTTTTTGAAATCATGTGCACATTGAATCTTAATCAGATTGAATTGCTCATCAAAGTTTATTGGGCTCTTTTACCATATTAAGACCTAGGTTTTTTTTTCCTTATAGCGTAAACATTGTTACGAGGAGTAGTTAAAACCCTTATATGTTGATTTATAATTCGATATTTAACCGATATGACATTTATCTCTTCCTATGTGTTTTTATTTCCCATTCTAAATGGAGGAAATTAGACATAGTATTTAAAGGAGCGAATTAGATTAATACAGTTAAAATAAATTAAATTTTCCATGATCATATTAACTAAATTAAATTTTCCATGATCATATTAACTAAATTAAATTTTCCATGATCATATTAACTAAATTAAATTTTCCATGATCATATTAACTAAATTAAATTTTCCATGATCATATTAACTAAATTAAATTTTCCATGATCATATTAACTAAATTAAATTTTCCATGATCATATTAACTAAATTAAATTTTCCATGATCATATTAACTAAATTAAATTTTCCATGATCATATTAATTATATCCATTAAAAATATGAAGACATTTGAAAGTTAGCAAATTCATTTCAAAGACAAGGACCGACACTCTCCAATTTGATTTTTTTTTTTTTTTCACTTCTCAAAAATTTTTATTACTAAATTTCTTTTCGTTTGATGTGATATTTTACACTACGGTTATTCGTTTTGAGCAATTCAAAATCTATTAGATAGCTTGCAATGTGATTATAATAAAAATGTTATGGACGAAATTTATATGTCGAAAATTATCTTGCATGAATTATTGAACACAAAATAAACAACGATTATTTAGTCTATTTCTTGCCACTATTTTTGACTCGTTATTAAGAATACATCCTTTATCGATTTTTAAATTTGAAAGATATATTCAAAGCTTTTTGCAAATACTTTGAAACGATAACAAACACCTCACCGATGAGTGAAGAAATATAGCTTGTAAATAAATCAAAAGATGTCACGCCAAAATAGAAATTAGAAGGAAAAAAAGAGCTAATTTGTTATTCGAAAAAGTGGCATACACGTATATTTTGAACTTCAAAAATTTATTGTCTAATTTAACTTATGTGAAAAGATAAGGATACACAGATTGTTTTATTGATAAAATTACATATATAGTGGTAGATATACTCAAAAGTGACATGACTTTTTGATATAAGTGACATGATACTTTTAAAAATGTTATACCTTAACTACTTCAAAAGACTGATATTTGACTCCATTATAGATGAAAACACTAATGTTATTATATATACAAAAAGAATATAAGTGTAAGATTTATTTATTTTACATTGACAATATGGAGAAGAAAATCAATCATCCATGGATTTGTTCTAATATTTTGATTGGTATTTCTCACTTTTTTCTTAAAAAAAAAATTCTATTACTTTTTTTATTTTTTGCCACTTTTGAAATAGTGTCTTGTGCTCCAAAAATGATGTTCTAGGTTTAGTTAATATAAGTGAAGTGTAATCATAAAGAGACAACTTGTTGAAGGAATCCAATTATCTTGTATCTATTCTAAGGTTTTAGTGTTTCCTCACTTTTTTAAATATGTCAGTTTTTTTCTTTTTTAATTTTAAGTAAAACAATACATCTTTGGCTAAACTTTCAATTTGCTTATAAAAATTTCTTTGAGATGTTAATTTATTTTGTATTTCGTTAACTTTGAATTAAATTTCATTGATAGAGAAAGTGATACTGTACATCACTCTTTACATAAAAAGTGACATAACTCACTTTTTAAAGTCTCAATTGACTTTATATAGTATTTTTTAATTTAAAAGAATTTTCATATAATTTTTCAAAATGCCCTAATTTTAAGTATACATCCCTTCTAAATATGACTTGCAAGCCCTACTTGCTAGACACATGTCTAGACCACGCATGGGCCATCTTGGATGTTCTTCATATAGCTCAACCCATTTAACACCTTTTGTTAAGCGAAGCTAAAATAAAAAGTATTGGATAATATTAAGCTCTTGTTTGGTGGAGATTAAAATCAGATTTTTAGTAAATTTTAATGGAAGTTAATGAAATATGTAGTGAAAAAGTTGTGATACGCATAAAATATGTGGTTAAAATAAATTATTAACTTTGACTTAAATTAAAATTTAGAATCGATACCAAACAGGAAGTAAATATGAAAATAAGCAAAAAGTTGTACATTATATTATCTAGTCTTTGTTCAGTATTATTGAACGTCACTTATTTTTCACGACTTCAACAAGACCGACGCATACCCTATATATTACAAAAACCTATACATATTTCAAGAACAAGTCACAACACATTCTCTTAGTATTTGGAAATTAACAACAGAACCATATCAATAAGGACGTTGGCCAATATAATTACCAGGTGGATCATAGTTACATATCACAAAAATCCAACCATTACTGCACGGAACCCTAGCACAACCAAGATGAACTGAATCCCTCCAAACCACCTGTGTATAATGCAGGCATTCTCCACCGACGCAAGAATTCGTGTCATAATCATAGCAAGATTTCTCCCCAACCCACATGCTGACTGCATCTCCGGCAGCCAATTTCTCCCACCCCTCAGCCAGGTTTTCGCCATAGGGCCCTTGCGAATGCTCCAGCTCGCAATCCGCATACCTTTCGTTGGCATAGTTTAGAGCATAGGCTGCAACCGTGTCATTCCAGACGAGGGGAGGGATGCCGACTTCTGCACGAGCCTGGTTGTGACTCGAAAGAAAATCTTGAGGGGAGTTTTGGGCCATGGAAGGAGGAGTTAGGGTTAAGGTTATCAAGGAAAATAAAAGGATCATTATTTTCAGTGAGTCCATTGGAGTGGTGGGTTTGAGTGTAGGGGGCAGGAGCAGATGTATTTATAGACGGAGAAATGCTATCTGTACAGGCTATTTTAACTGATCGAATTATAGAATGTTGAGTAGGCAAGATTTTTACACCGTTTTGAACAAAAAACAAAGTTAAATCAGCCAACGAAATCTTACCAGTTCTTATGACCAATGTGTTAAAAAAAAAAAAAAA